TGCGGCTGGCTGGGAAATTAGCCACCGGTTGATAGAATATTTGAGGAGGGAAGTCGGACAAATAATCAAATATTTGGGAGAGGGAAATTTGAGCGACAAAAACGTCCTCGCTAATTTGATATTTTTGGGAGATTTGGGGGTGAATACGACCCAAAAATCCTATTCTCTTGGAGCCGAGAAATATTTCTGCACTCTGGGGTGAATATAAATATTCAAAAGAAGTGGGAACAAAAGAAAATTCTGCACCAATTTGCCATAATTCAAAAATATTTTCTAATACTCCTTTTAGCCAGTAAAAATCGATTGTCTGGACTGACTTGTGAAGCGGCTGGTTAAAAAATTTTCCTACTCCACTCAAAGCCAGCAATTCTTCCTGGTAAAAAGGACCTGCAGCCACACTAATTTCAAAGAAAAAAAGATCTTTGTTTCCACGGACGAGATTATATTTTAGCGTTTTTAAATGACTGGCAATGAGCGTTTGGCGATAAAATTCATGATACTCATTTTTTGGCTTCAATAGATGGTAAAATTCACTGCTGGATTGGAAAAGAAAATCGTTTTTCATAGCGGCCGAAACCAACGAATAAGTAATAATTTCCTGTCAGCCGTGATTAGTTAAATAAGCACGGAGGATTCTTTTTTGTTTTTCGGCTTGTTCGTTTTTACTATTAGAAGCGGCAGCGGGGGAGCCAAAAGGCAGCGAGCCAATTAATTTGTTGTAATCATAAATCCGCAATAATTCTTCCAGTAAATCCTCGGGATTGGTGATATCCGACCGCGACGAAGGTATTTGAACCTGATAAACATCTCCTTCTTTCTGATAGGTAAATTTTAGTTGTTGTCAAATTTTCTCAATAGTTTGTTCGCTTAATGCTTGCCCGATTTTTTGGGTAATAAATCCTTGACTAATAGCGATTATTGGCAACTTTTTTCTTGCCTCCCGATACGTTTTTTTTTGCCCCTCATTTACAATGGGAAAATTAGCCGGTTTTACTTGACAATTTAATAAAATTCCTATTTCTTGAATTAGACCTTTCCAAGAAAGCAAATCGGGGCGATTAGGAAGAATGTCAATTTCAAAATATATATCTTTTTCCTTTTGAATTATTTTTGTTTCTAGGCCGTAATAAGTCAACTTTTCGGCAATTTCTTTTGGATTAATGGTTGGCAAAAGAAGATGCTCTTTTATGTATTTTCAAGGTATTGAGGGCATCATATAGAAGTTTTAATCTTAATTATTTCCTTCTACTCTTGCGTCAGAAAAAAATAACTAACACCAACAGCAGAAAAATTATTATTTATTTTTTTTGAAAATTTTACCTAACTTCTCTACATTTTCTTTATTATTGACTCAACTTTCTTGGGACAAATGCTTTCTAATATCGTTTCACAGATCCTCAATAACATCTGAAAAAATCGGACTTAGTTCTGGGCTATTTCTTGTCTTGTGCCTTTTTTGCTTTCTCAAAATGTAAATTTGATCTATTTGTGTTCCGTAAACATCCACTTTGTAATCAATATCATAAGTTTCTGTAACAATATAAAATTTTGCTTGTGGATTTCCTCTCTTAACTTTTTCTGCTGTCGCTATTGAGCCTTCCAGCATTGTCTTATCCAAATAAGTCTTACATTCTATACTTATTATAGGAACATTTAAGTTTTTTCCTTTCTCATTATTTACCGCAATTTCATACTCTCTATAAATAGCAAAATCTTGATCTTTTTCGTGAATTCCTACATCAACTGGTCCCTTTACGAAATTTTTAAGACTTTTAGGATTAAAATAAAGATTAGAATAGGCTTTTACCGACGAACCCTTTTTTAAATCCAAACAAAAATCGCTCTTAGAAAATAAAACAAACAGAAATTCTTCTAGCACTGTGGACTCAAACTTGGATTGAGAAGAAAAGTTATAACTTTTTAGATAATCCTTGTAATCATTAAGGCATTCAGCCAACTTATTAAAATTGTAATTTGTAGTATATTTTTCAAGCAATTTTCTATACTCAATATATTTTTTTGCTATGTCTGTTAATAACAATCCTTTTTTCTCTTCTCCCTTTCTCATTTTTCCTAGCAAATTACTTGCGTGGCTGCCTCCTTGGGTTTTGTATTTTCCTAAAATCGTCAATAATTCCTCTTTATTTTTATTTTCCATATTATTTCGTTCTTTCAATTGCTTTTTGACAATATTCTTGACTAATATCAATGCCAATATATTTTCTTCCTAATTTTTTTGCCATTTTGGTAGTAGTCCCAACACCATTAAAAGGGTCCAAAACAATATCTCCTTTAAAAGAAAATAATTTAATTACTCTTTTGGCCAATTGTTCAGGAAACATTGCATCATGATTGAATTCCTTCATTTTTCTTTCTGGAGCAATATTCCATCAACCAACCACTCACTGTTTAAATTCCTCTGCTGTCAAATCAATATTTTTTCTTTCTCCTTCTTTTTTTATGCTTCCTTTTGAAAATACTTCCACAAATTCCCAAGTATACTTCAAGTAAGGGCAAGAAGGACTATTTCAAGAACCTCAGGCGGTATATTTGGCGTTATAATTATTCTTGTCTCAAACAATTTCATTGCGATGAATCATTCCCAACTTCATAATCGTATTACTAATAATGTGATGGCTAGGAATATAATCAGAAAATAAGGGCTGAATGTTGACAACCAGACGCCCTCCGCGTTTTAGAATTCTGACGCATTGCCTAAAAATTTTTTTCAACTTTTTAAAATAATTTTCTCAAGTTGATTTTTGACCAAGATCGGCCTGTTCCATGCCGAAATTATAAGGGGGGGAAGTAAAAATAAGGTCAACAGAGCAAGAAGGAATTTTTTTTAATACCTCCTCGCTGTCTCCACAAATAATTTGATTGATAAATTTTTTTTGAATTTTCTTCCTACTATTCCTTTTTTCTTTGAACGGTTTAGCGTAAAAAAGATAATTATTAACCACGTTTTCTGGCAAAATTTCCATTTCCTTTTATTTTAATATTTTACAAAAATTTTGGTAAGAAAACCTCAAAATTTTCAATAATTGGTCTACTCGAATTGAAAAACTTTCTTGTTATATTTTAATTTTAGGGCAGCATTTCTAATGACTGGTGCGGGAGAAGGGAGTCGAACCCTCAACCTACAGATCCTAAGTCTGGCGCCTCTACCAGTTGGGCTACCCCCGCTTCTGGTGTCCGGTGGAGGGCTCGAACCTCCGACTTTCTCCTTAAAAGGGAGACACTCTACCGCTGAGTTAACCGGACTTATTTCGTTGTTTAAGAAGAAAATAATTAAGAATTATTTCTTTCCAATTCTAATTTAATTTTTTCAATTTCACTTCGGGCATTTAATCATTTAAATAAACCTCAAAATGTCAGAATTATTGCGACAATTCATGATAGAAGTCAAAAAATAAGAAGCAGAAAAAAACTGTCTTTAAAGAAACTAATAATTTTTTTTCCTGTTTCTCCCAAATCACCACGATAAGATAACAACCTTAAAGCGTTGTATAGACCATCTAAAATGAAGTTTAAAACTCCAAGCCCCATTCCACCAATAAGCAATTTAAAACCTCGGGATTTTTGGTTCATTTTGACAATTAACTGTTTCAACAATTTTTCTTTTTGGTTCATATTTCTAATTTTTTACTTCATAACCAAAAGTCCAAACAATCAAGAGAATAATATTAAGAATGAAAATGACAAATACGCTTCTGATACAAAATAATCAACTGGGAAATCATTCATAACGTTTGCTGAGCAAATGTAGAGATATTACGAGTGTGCTGATTATATTATTAATTACTACCCAAAAAATTAATTTTTTATTATTCTTATCTTTGCCTAACTGAAAATGTTTGTATCTATTTTTCATACCTTTTTTGCTATGGCTGGGACGGCTGGAATTGAACCAACTATCAGGGAGTCAAAGTC